CTGCTGGTCCACCTCTAATTCTTTATTCCACTCATCCCTTAGCATCTGCATATCAAATTGATTTATTGATAACAAATATCTATATGAACTAATGGTAGTTTTTTTAGTTTTAAAGGATTTAACAAGTTGTTCTAATATCTCAGGTGTCTCAGAAGCTGAAAATGCTGCTGGTCCAAACAGTGTTGTTAACAAATGTTGTAATTGTAAATGTTGCCATCGGGTTACATCTGATAGATGATATTTATCTCTTAACACAGCATACGGTAAACATTAATCTTCATTATCTATCAGTTGGTCCAAAGTCAATATCCCCACTTCCACCCAATTCATCCATATCACCATCTTTTTCCCAAGTTTTAAAGTTGAGTTTCCCCATAAAGTCAATTTGGCATGGGAAAAAGGGTCAAATCCTTTTCGTTAGGCATTGCGTTCCACAGCTACATGGATTATGTAGGTTGCGCACGGTCTTGTGTCCCTCGGCCTTGCCTGTCCTGACCCTCCTTTGCGCCAAGCTTTTGAAAGCCCCGACTCAAGGTGGGGGGAGCTCTGCCCCAGCCTTTCAGTTATTCCCTTCTTGCCCGTTTTTGCACCTTTCCCAGTCCTGTCACCTCTTTCTTAAGGCGCAGTGACCAGAACCGAGTGTGGTCTTGCCAGATTTGCATCCGGGCGCCGTTCTCTCGGCAGCCCCCTTTGCGGCTTCCTCCCTAATGGCAAGGGAATTGCCTTTTTAAGCAGCTGCACCCTGGGCCCCTATTTTCACTGATCTGCGCACCAGGACCCCAAGATTGTTTTCCTGATCAGTTGTGCCATGCTCAGATCTCATTCACATATAGATTAAATTTGGGTTATTTGTGCCAGCCTGCAACACCTTATACTTGTTTACCCCGGATTGCATTTGCCCTTTGGAAATTACCCAATTTGGGGAGAACCTTCTGGCCTTTTTCCCAGTCCCTGCAAAATTTGGTATCATCAGCAAACACGGACACCTCACAGCTCGGCCTGGCTCCATCTCTACGATCCTGAGAAAATGAAAACCTAAAAATATAAAAATGGGACAAAGCTGTCTGAAACGTCAAAACCACGTGTGTTATTCAGCTAGCATAAAAGTAATTTCAGAAGCAGAGACCCTCTTTCCCCTCCCCTGCACTCTCTCCCAGCACCCATAACGGCTCCTTCTCCAAAATGCTTTGAGTGCACCTTGCTTTCCTTTGAAATCCTTCCCCGCGGAAGACCCCAGAGAGCGTCTTTGCAGCCGAAGAGCTGAGCGAGAGAGGCCTTTGTAACCGGGGATTTTCTTCCAGTTTGAAGGACGACCTGTGGCTGAACGTCCAAGTTGGAGACATCATCAAGCTGGAGAACAATAACTTCGTGACGGTAAGCGACGGCGGCTCCCAGGAGGGAAGCCCAAGCAGCGCCTCCCTCGCCCCCCGGCCAGAGGCGCCCCGGGATCGCCCCTTAGTCTGGTGGCCAAATAAACACTGGCATGGAAGCCTCTCCGCGTGCTCTCCGGGGCACGGGCCTCTCCAGAAAGAAGCCTAGCCTCGGCGGTGACCTGCTTTGCAAGGGCCGAGCCCCTGGTCGGCCCTGCTGCCCCGCAGCCGGGAAAGGCCACCCGCCTCTTGGGTTGGCTGCTCTGTGCCCGGCAGAGGAGGCGCTCCTAGAGCTGCGCGGGCAGAACCCCCTCCTGGCTCAGAGCAAGGGGAACGCGTGCCCTGCCCTGGATAGAGAGACTAAAAGCACCAAAATCCAAGTTAATCAGTCACCATTTGTTCTTGAATCCTGGATTGGTTGTGGTTAGCTGTCATATATTGGTCTGGACAAGTCCGTTTTAGAAGTAGGCTTTATGACCCTGGCTTGTTCAAACAAACCGTTGTTAGAATTACAGTTTCTCATTTGAAACAACAAAGGTTGAGGGGGAGAAAACGCTGGACTTCATGAAGGTTTGCCTGGAGGGGTGCACTGTGTTGCATCCGTAGCCGGCACGGAGAGACGGAAGTTGGACGAATGTCCGCGAGGCCCTTGAGCCGAGCCGCACAAGGGGGGCCGGACGGCTCGCCAGCACCTCCCGGGGCGGGTGTCGTGCAGAACGGGGGTGCTCGGATCAGGAGTCCCCTCAGCATCTCACACCTGCAGCCTTCGGGCGCGGCCGGAGGATTCCTCAGAGGCCGTCCGGGACGTTCACGGTCCCCAGAGGGCAGTGTTGGAGCAGCCCCGATCCGTTAGGTTGGGGGCTCTAATGGGGCTGAGGTCAGCAACTACAAGCCTGCCTTGCCCTCCTGGCCTGGACGAGGGTCATCTGGAGGGTCCTTTCACTGGAATGAGAGTCCTCTGACATTATCCGCGGACGGAGGGTGGCGGCGCCGGCATTCGCCTTGTTGCTGTTTCTCACCGACTCTCCCCCTTTGCAGGCAGACGTGCTGTTGCTCTCCAGCAGTGAGCCCCACAGCCTGACCTACATCGAGACGACGGAACTGGACGGGTAAGCGTCCGAGCCCCCCCTTGGCTGGCAGCCGGAGCCTTCCTCTGCCCCCTGAGGACATTCCCCTTAAGCCCCTGCCCCCGAGACGCAGGCCCGGGGCCGCTTTCAGGACGTGAGCCTCCAGCCCGCATGGTCACTGGATGGTGCATCTTCCCTCCGCTGTCTTGTTCCAGGGAAACCAACCTGAAGGTGAAGCAGGCCCTGACCGTCACCGCGGCGCTGGGTGGGGACCTGCAGGCCCTGAGCGGCTTTAACGGTACGGAGGGAAGGGGCGCCTGGCGAGCTGGGCAGCGCCTGGGGGGCCTTAGTTGCTGCCCCTTGGAACCCCTTTGGGGCAGGTGCATCTTCCACCTGCAGAGGTTGGGGGCGGCCTGGAGGGGCCCAGCTCTGTGTCAGCGTGGCCTCTTCGGTCCGAAGCCCCCTTGGACTCTGGAGCGGGTCACATGCGCGTTGCCCTTGCAGTTCTCCATCTGGGGCTTTTGCACAGAGTTCGCTGCTTCGAAAAGGCTGTGCTTCCCACGCGGGTCCTCTCTGGGCACCTCATCCCTGGGCGGGGGGATTTGACTTGGAGGCCCAGGAGAGCCAGGATCCAGACAGAAAGCCCTGCCCGTTGCCCTCTTTGCTAGCGCAGTTGTGCAGATTCAGCTTTCCATGGGGGGGGGGAGATTATCTGCCCCCACCACTCAAGCTAGACTGCTCCTGCACATGGAGGTTGTGCTTAGCCATTTTCAGACCTCCCTCCTTTCCTCCTCCCTGAATTCAGCCACGTCTTGTGGGTTGCTTGGGCACGTGGTGCGCAGAGAACCTTCCAGCTCCCTCCCTGCCGAGTCCTTTGGCCAACCGTTGCCAGCAGCAGGAATGGTTCTCTGCCAGGCGCCTGGGTGCCCCAGGAGGGTTCGCTGGCACTCCGCATTAGAGCCCCTGCCCGGGAGGAGGCACATGCCGGGCAAGCGGCAGGCGGCAGCCAGAGAGCCGCAGCCCAAGGCCCTCCGCAGACACTCCTGAGGCCGGTTCCCGAGGCAGCTCAGCCCCTTTGACGTCTTCTTGGCGCCTGGGGCAGCCGGCCCGGGGCAGCTGAAGGAGGGAGGGGCACTTCGGTTCCCGGGGAGC